ACCTTTTTTTTTTTTCTTTTTTTTTTCCTTTTTTTGTTTTTTTTCGTGACCGGTAACGGGATCGCAACCCTCAGTGTCGTGCCCGCACCACGCTCAACCAGTGAGCAGACCAGTCTTTATATGGGATCCGAACCCTCGGCGGGAGTGCTGCTGCGCTCCCAAGCGCCGCACTCTACCAAGTGCGCCACCGGGCCGGCCCGATATGACCGTTTTTAAGGAAAACCAGTGCACGGTCACACAGGGATCAGTACCTTGGTTGGGACTGGACTCCACTGAACTTCAGCAGCAAAGATGTATCGGTATTGTTTCCCATTGCGAGCATAATTGATCCGAGGTAGCTCTAAGCCTAGAGAGAAATGCAATGGCTGATAAGGTCCCCATCACTGGGGGCTGGGAACATTGCTCTTCATACCAGGCGAGGCATCCTTTCCACAGAAACAGTTCCCAAGCCAGGATTCCTGAACTTGACTCAGAGCCCAGATTGGATCAAATGTGGTCAAAGGCAGGGGAGGAAACCTCTGATAATTACCCCAGCTCTATTAGAAGTTTCCAGAGCAAGGTGCCATAGACCTAGGTTTTTAAGTGTATAAACATCTTTAATTATCTAAGATAGAAATCAAAGAGAATTGCATGATTAAAATCAGAGGCTACTGCAATTTCTTAAAGCTCTTTAAAAAAAATAGTACTGATGTATATGCATGTGCATGCATGTGTGGGTGTGAAGGGAAACTGGAAGCCACGGAAAGGAGTGTTCAGTGTAGAATAGTTAAATAGATCAGGTGAATTATATAATAACATTATGTAAAAATAATGCTGACAAAGGATTTTAATAACATGGGCAGTGTCCATACCATAAGGTTAAGTGTAAAAAGCATGGTTGTAGAATTATCTTCACTGTGTTACAAAAGAAGGGAAAAAATTTTGAAGCATTACTGGGTTATAACTGCCTTTTAGTTTATATTTTCTATTGTGGAATCTAAGTTTCTCATTATGTGAAATTTTCATTATGCCCATGACTTTCATAATCCCTCAAAACTTACATTTTTTTCCATGTGAATGTATGTATAATTATATACGCCCACCGTGTCAAATAGAATTTCTAAGTCTGAATACTGAAATGAATGTCCCCCTTTTATGAAATGTTCCAGGTAGGTGGAGCCCATTGCTGTGGAAGATAGAACGTCCAAGAGGAGAGGAAGCAGAGACAGGTACATTCACCACAGGAAGACCTCATGGTCAAGACTCCAGGTGGCACAAGTGGTCATCAGGCTCAGTGGAGAGTGAAGGGGAGTGGACTATTGAGATGGGAAGGAGATGCCCAATCCCACAAATGACTAAGAACTTCCAAAAGACAGCTTAAGATGAACACGAGGAAGAGGGACCATCCACCCATGTAAGTAAGAAGATGCCTGCAGTTGACCCCAGAGTAGGCCTGAGACTTCCCATGAAGCTCCTGGGCCCCTCTCAAACCTGGTCTGGGACCCCTGAACCCCCAACCTTCACCCTGTAAATGGCCCACCGGAGGTACTTGGTTAAGTAAAGTGTGAATTCTGAGCAGCTATTAAAAGCCACATTCTTGAAGAGTCCAGGATGTGGGAAAATATTCAGACTACATCCATTAAGTGAAAGAACCAGTTTCAGAACATTTTACATGATGGGTTACACATTTTCTAAAAGGATAAATGCAGCGGTTAAGCGCTTTGGAATCAGAGAAGCCTGAGCTCAGACCCCAGCTCTGCTGCCTGCCTTGGCAAGTTGCTAAAAATTGTCCTCGCTTGCTTTCCTCAGCTCTAAAACGAGAATCGTATGTACCAGCACCTGCCCTTTCAAGTAGTTCTAACGTTGGCTACTGCAGGCTGGACTCTCTCTGTGGGCCAGGCCCTAAGCCAAGCCCTTGCTGTGTATGAACACATCCAATGTCAGTGACAACAGATGAGACCGTCGGGATGTGTGCCCTTCCAGATGCCTGACTCTGGCCTGGGGCAGCCAATGGAGCAAGGTCCTCAGTTTAAATCCACACTAGCTGAAAGCCTTTGGGCAAGCCTTTTCATTCTGCACTTTTAAGTGTCAACACAGACCCCTCTATGCCAGACTGTGTGTCATGTGCTATTGTGATCCACTGTGAGCACAGAAACACAGTCCCTGCCTCATGGGCTTATATTCTAGGGTGGTGATTCTCAATCAGGGTGGTGTTTCTCAACCAGGGTGATGATGCCCCCCACAGGACACTAGCAATGTCTAGAGACATTTTTAATTATTCCAATTCAGAGTAGGGGGTGCTCCTGGCATCTGGTGGGCAGAGGTAGGGGATGCTGCTAAACATCCTATAATACCCAGGAATTACCCGGCCCCCAATGTCAATAGTGCCCTGGAGAGAAGCCCCACTCCAATGAGTGTGACTCCTGTTCTAGGTGGCTTATTTTCTGCGTGTGGCTCAACATCTCTCAGGCCATTCTCTCCTCTGCAAGATGGGGCTGGCAACACCTCTGTTTTGCAGGGTACTGTGAATGTGTGAAGGTAGAAATATGATCGTATCATGCATGTTCAAAAGCCAGTGTTCAGTAAGTCGCAGCGTTTGCAGAGGGCACCTGTGAAAGTCTGGCCCAACAACCACCTAGTGCCTTCGTTTAAGGTGTTTGACTATATATAAGGAAGAGAAATGTCCCCAAATGCTTTCACTGGGGCATCCCAGAGCCTTTCTGCTTTGTCCCTTCTCCATGAATCAGAGAAAGGTGTAATATGAAGAGGCCTCAGTGTCTCTAAGAAAATCTGCCCCTTCCCTAAATGCAGGGAAAGAGGAAGCATTTTACCTGTAAAAAGCAATTCTGGCTGGCAGTAGACTTGGTCATCTTTTTCTTTCAGGGCTGTTGCTGTTGTAGATGGCAGTTTGACCAAACTTGAGCCCACTTCTGCATTCTGAAAAGAATGGGTTTTCAAAAAAAAAATTAAAACTTGTTATCCAGAGCAAACATTTGCTTTACTGTGTGCATTTTTAAAATGCTTTAATGGATGTCATCTTGTTTTGGACTCACCTTAGTCATAGGAAGCAGTTATTTTATGGTTATTATTCCTATGCTCAGTTAAAAAAAAAAAAGAGGATTGTCAATTTGAAGTGACTCCCCCAAGGTTGCACAGAGCAAACATTTGCTTTACTGTGTGCATTTTTAAAATGCTTTAATGGATGTCATCTTGTTTTGGCCTCACCTTAGTCATAGGAAGCAGTTATTTTATGGTTATTATTCCTATGCTCAGTTAAAAAAAAAAAGAAGAGGATTGTCAATTTGAAGTGACTCCCCCAAGGTTGCACAGGGCTTGTAGGTTGTAGGACCAGGACTCCTGCACCTGGGGCTCCCTTCTCTAACTCTGGGATGCCTTATCCCTCACAAGGAAAACTAATGGGCTTTCAAGAGTAAGTTCTTACTTTTTAAATACCGGATGATTCACCTGTAAAAGCCTGCGTCAGTCATTAAAAAGATGTTTCTAAAGAGTTGACAATGAGATGGGAAATGCTTATAATGTAACACTGAGTGGAAAAAGCATCAGAACAAATTGTATATGCAGTCTGAGCTCAACCATGTGAAAAAAAATTACATTGAAAAGAGAATGGGAGAAATATACCAAATATTAACAATACAGCAGATGGTGGAATTATGGGGGGTTTTGATTTCCTTTTCTGTTCTTCTCTGTATTTTCTATATTTTTTCCTATGAAAATCTATCACTGCTGAAATGAAAATAAACATGCAATAAAAATTATTGGGGAGAAAAACAACTTTCAAGGACATTCCTTGGTCTCAGGCTACAACCAGACTTTGTTCAGTAATTTGCTGTCATCCTTATAACCCAGGAGAGGGATTTAACATGATTAAATATTTGTTGAGCATCTATTACTCCCTGTTTCCCCCACATACTAACCATGGGACCTTGAGCAAGTTACTCAGCCTCCCTGTAGTTCAGTTTCCTTATGTGTATTATGAGGATAATAGAGTTATTGTGCAGATTAAATGAGATCATCTGCACAAATGGTTCACAAGAGTGCCTGGCTAACAGGAAGTGCTAGCTAAATGTTAGCTGCTTTGGTTGGTGATGACACTGTTGTTGTTATATCATTATCATTATTATTATGATGATGTTGATACTGCCGTCACTACTACTGGGGGTGAGTACAGGTTAGGCTCTGGAAAACACTGAGGAACAGATAACAGAAGGCTATTGTTCTGGCTAACTTCTCATTTAAGCTTTTCTTACTTTCCAAATTTTCCAAAATGACTTTTATTTAAAATCGACCTGTGTTAATGATAGCACCTTTGTTTTTGGGAAGGAGGAAAGGTTTACTGCACCCCAGTGGTTGAATTGTAGGGGTCCTTAGAGATTTGTTTAGCTCAATCCCTCAATTTATAGAAGAGGAAACTGAGGCCCAGAGAAGGAAAGTGACTTGTCAAGCAGAGAGAAGCAGAGTCTGCCAGGTCTTTGCACTGTGATTCTCCTGCCCAGAAGCAAAGCAGGTGGAAAGGCCCTGAGGCTAGCCCATTCCCATCTGGTAGGTCTCAGCTCAAACATCCATTTCCCTAAGCCAGGTCTTTGCACTGTGATTCTCCTGCCCAGAAGCAAAGCAGGTGGAAAGGCCCTGAGGCTGGCCCATTCCCATCTGGTAGGTCTCAGCTCAAACATCCATTTCCCTAAGAACTCAATCTGAATCTTCAGAGTCTCCAAGGCATCTGTCCTAAAAATGAAAGCAGGGACCAGATTTCATTCAGTGCATGGCACATAGTCAGTATCTGAAAAGTAATTGCTAAAAGAATGAGTGAATGCACAATTCAATATCTTTCCCTCCAACATAAAAGGAGCAAAACACGTGCTTTGCAGGCAGCTGCAGGAATTAAATGAGATGCCGTGCACGAACAAAGTAGCCCAGCGCCCTGCACGTGAGCAGAAAGTGTAAATGCCTCCACCTGCACCCACCGCCAGTCAGTGGGAGGCCCCACCTGGTGCTTGCCTCACAGCTGACAGCAACAGGCCTCTGGGTGCGTCCCAGCCTTGATTCACAGGGAGCCAGTCTGCAGAGATGTCTTATAACTCTAGCCTAAAACTGGTCAGACGGGTTGAGGGATAAACTGTGAATTTTTCCACACACAGCAGAAATGAACATGACTCGGCTTCTTTGGGGGGCCAACATGCTTAGCTTTGGGAAGAAATCATTTTTCCAGCCAAATTTCAACAAAATCCTGCAGGCTTGCTTTGGAATCCCTACACTTGATGTACTCTCATGAGAAGCAGTAATCTCAGTAATCCCCCAATCACCACCTTAGGTGGGAAATCCAACTCTATAGCTTTCTGTGTGAACTTGAGCAGACCCCTTCACCTCACTAAGTCTGCTTCCTCATCTGTAAAATGGGGGCGGCAATTCATAACTTTTGAACGGATGCTGAGCATAAGCAAGGTTGCTTCAACCTGCATTTGAGGATTAGGATTAAATTATATAATGACTGTGGAAACACCTGGCCCAGGGCCAGACAGACATGCATTCAAATCCCAACTCAAATCCCATGAATAATTCTGCCACGTTGGGCAAGTTACTTTCTCTCTCATCTGTAGACATGGGGATAATAATAAACTCAGGGAGTTGTGATATGAATTAGCAACATATTTAACAGTTCCTAAAATTTGCAGGACCTGGGATGAGAATATAAGTGGAAGCCCACCGATCCTATGTCTAAATATATCAAGCAAATTAAGTAAAACACCGTCTCTCTCTACCTTGACTCTTAGACCTCCACAATGTTGTGGAGCTGTGCTGTTTAAAGTGGCAACTACTAGCCATATGAGGCTATTTAAATCTACTTTTAAAATAAAATTAAGAAAAATTACAAATTCAGTTCCTCAGCTGCACTAGCCAGATTTCAAGTCCTTGGTAGCACTCATGATTAGTAGATACTGTATTGGACAGGCAAAGAGAATGTTCCAGCAATGTAGCAGGTTCTATTGCACAGTGCTGGTCTGGAAGAATGAGTGTGAATTTAGGATTCCAGGACTCCTTGGAGTTCTAGGCTGGAATAAGGAGACACAGTGAGAGCTCACCTTTGGCCCCTGGCTCCCTTCCCTCTCCTCCCAGGCTGCGCCCCTAACTGCATGGATGCCCCAGCCAGCACAACCAAGCCATCAGCTAGCTTGGGCCACCTCATGGGCCTGGGGTGGGCACACCACTGAGGAGGACAGAGGCAGGCAATGGAACCAGCTGGGGCCATTTAGGCAGAGAATTCTGGGATTCCAGGTCTCTAGAGCATGGATGGGGTGGGAGCAACACCCCTCTGGGTGGGCATGACCCCTCGGTCCTGTGAAGTCGTCACCCTGTGGAGAAGGGGTCCTGCTGGAGAAAGAAAGCCCAGATCAGGGCCCTCCAAACTGCCAAGCCCAGAGTAGGGGTCCTTCTTGCAGGAGTCCAGGAGCAGAAAAGGCATTTAACACAGAGTCTAACACATAGTGAGCTCTCAGTGAACAGTGGCTTCTCTTACTATTATGTCTTCTTTATTGCATTTGGAGATAAAAACCAAATCTACTGATCCAACCACACCTTCTAGGTCTAAAGGCCTCTTCCGGTGATGGCCCCTCTGGCGTGGATGGCAAATGCTTATGAAGCCACCTCCAAGGCAGCGCGTGGCGCCCTTCAGGATGAGGGCACGGCCACCTTGCCAGCTGCCTGTACATGCCCACACCCCTCCCGGCTCCTCCTCCGCCCCTGCCAAGCCCTACCTTGGACACCCCTGCGCCACCCTACATAATCAGGCCAGGGTGCCAAGAGGCCCTGCCAGCCCCACCTTCCTTTGACCCCAGCTGGCCCAAGTGCAAAAGAATCGGGGGCAGTCTGGAGATCCTGGACTTTTAAGTACAATTTACTATTGCCTGTTCTACACAGAGTATTTTCCACTTGGGACTTGTTTCAGTGCTGAAGGAAGACCTTGTACCTTCTAGAGAACTTGCTTCACATTGTTCATTCATTCATTCGTCCCTTTACCATATTGAAGAGCTTAATGAGTACTCTCTGAGTGCAGGGATGAACTGCTGACAGGACAGGAGAATCCCTGTCCTCTCGGAGCTCATGCTTCAGCAGCAAGAGGGAACTGAATGAGTTCATGATACTTAAGATTAATGTTGAGCAAAGAGCTATTATTAGGTATCGGGGAGTGTACTCTGAACTCATCTGAGGGGAGAACTGATGCTGAGACCTGAAGGAGGAGCAGGAATTAAGGGACAATAAATAGCAATTAAAAAGCGTGGCCAAAGCTACCTATGCCAGAGCTTGCTCTTTTTTGCTAGTTTCAAAGCAGCAGATGGCTCACAGGATGGCTTTTAAAAATATACATGCTAACCTCCTTAGTTTGGTTCTTAAGAAGCCACCCATTTCTGGAGCGTAACATTAGGATATAAAATCTCGCTGCGTGTGGGCAGTGGGAGGGAGCATGTTCCTCTCTGTGTATCATCCCTGGGCTGAGGTCGGCCTTGTGATTT